CCAGTCTTTAAGGCTAGTCTGAAATTGGTCCCCTTTACCTGTTTCTCTCTGTTTCCTGTAGTAGCCAGTTCACTGCCTATTAGAAGGTTTGCTTTTTAAATACAGGATGGTTTGTATGCCCCAGGCCATCCTCCTAGGTGGGGTTATCACTGTAGATGAGGAAACAGGCTGGAAGGGGTTAGCTAACTTGCACTTGGTCACTAACCCAGTGAGGTGGCAGAGCTGGGTGTTTCAAGCTAAGTTCTCCTTATCCAACACACTGAACTCCTCCACCCCCATAACTTGCTTAAGAAATGACCTTGACTAAGATCTGGCTTCCAGCAGACATTCCAAGCTCAAGAAACCTGCTTCCCAGAACTGATGGAAGTGTATTTGACCATGCTGGCATCTCCTGACACTAGTTACTTCACATTCCCTTTTGCCAGAAAGACCCTGATACCACAGAGAGTCCAAGGTGACCCCCATCCCCCAGCCAGGTATCTGGCACCTGAGGACTGAATCCCCAAACCTGGATCCCTGAGGCCCTGAGGGATAGGGGTATGAACAAAAGCTCAAGAAAAAATGGTGTCATCAGGCAGCTCTCCAGAGTTTGAGTTTGGTTTAGTTCAAAACAGGAAGTCATGCTCCCCACCTCTCTCTCACCTCCTAACTAAAGTCCAGCTGTGTTTTCTCTCTGTTCAAGAAAACTGCCTTTTATTTTATTAAAAAAAAAAAAAAACAGGCAGAACCCCAAATTGGATGGTTCAGTAGTTTATCCTTCACACTTTAAAAAATCTTCTACAAAAGAAATGTTGCTTTTGAAAATATCACCATTTTTTAAATTGCTATTATGAATTTTCCAAGTTATTGCAGTGAAAATGGAAGAAAATAACATGGAGAATGAGGTGGTGTGAGACCAAACGTTTGGGGCGGGGGGAAGGAGTTTTGCTGAAATACAAATTGGCTTCTTAGATTGTATTCTTATTCTAATTCCCAATTAGACTTGAGACCTGGGCGACTCAGGTAGATGGGCATTTGCATTTAGGGCATTCTTAAACTACTTGCAGTTGTATATGCTGGAGTGTGATTTAGGTTATTAAAGGCATTTGGTGTGTGTGTGTGAGAGAGAGTGTGTGTGTGTAAGAGAGAAGTGCACCTATATTAGCTTCCTGAATGTATGCCTCTCAAGATAGCTCTGGCCTCAAAAGACTCTCACAGGCTTTTTTAAAGTCTCCATTTCTTTTCTTCCAGGAATCATTACTTGAAAGAAAAATCAGAAATATACAGATTAATAATATTAAAACAGACATTTCAGAAACGTGACCAAAACTTGATTACCATCAACCATGGTGACAGTGACCCAGCACCCTGTCCAGAGCTGAGACCAGCTCCTTTAAAGTTAACTTCCAGACCAAACCCTCTCAGGTAATGTGCAACAAAGACCACATTCTGACGCGCTTAGGGACACACAATTTTCACAATGTTTTTATTATTCATAAAAAAATAAATTTATTTACATCTGTTATTTATTGTGGTAGTGCAGCCTCATGGCAGCGGCGCAGTACCGCTAATCATGGTAACCATTGTCAATGAGTCCCAAACAGGTCCAGAAGCCCGCCTACGTGCAAGGAAGAACTTGGGCTGCGGGAAGAACTTGGGTACCAGAAGTGGTGATGGGGGAAGGGCGGCCAGAGGTTGGGGGTGGGGATGAAGCCTGTAGGGGAAAGTCCAGCCTAGTGAATGAGGGAACTTCCAGGAGCAGGGAGAAGGGAGCGGCCCAAAGGAAACCCAAACCAGGTTGGTACCACCAGGCTCCACATTAGACTGGGAGCCTGTGAGCAGAACATTAATTAGAAAGAGGAGGGGGCTTGGAAAGAAGACCCCAGTCTGTGGGGAGTAAGAAGTCAGACCTCAGCAAGGAAGTTGAACAGCCCAGAA